AGGGTCGTTATGAGTCGAAGGAGACTCCACAGCATATAACAACAGCTGCAAGATATTTTTATTTAATTGGCCTTGTAGGAGACAGCTTGAACATGGATAGTTTTACAGTTCAACTAATGTACACTTTAGGGTTCATTGTTATTTTAATGATAATACACACTGTTTAGCAATGTGTTGCAAAAAGATAGTGATTTTATAAGATAAGCTATTTACACAGTCAATGTCCTCTTCTAAGTCCATTTGACTGTTCTATTCACTCCCTTCACAGAGTCACAACTTAGAGATGGACAATAATTCAAAGACATCTAAACCTCTACAAATCTGAATATCTCACTGGTGAATCTGCACAAGTTACAGAAACTGTAGCAAGGCATGATAGACAAAGTAAATGATATGTGACATTGTACTCACAGTTGATCAGTGTCTTTAACTGCATGCTCATAACAAGGAAACAGAAAAAGGCTGTCAGTGGAGAATAATAGGAACTGTAGCCATGTTTTTGTAGAATCAAAATTGGCTTACAAGCAATTTTATGATATAAATTCAACAAACTCCATTTTTTTTCTCCCTGTCCACCCCCTCCAGTTCACTTTTCTCTTTGAAAAAACAAAGTTCTTTCGTTGTTGTACAATCCTCCCTCCTCAAGTCCACTTTACTAGGCAACTCTTATTCTGGACTATTGTTATGCAAATACTGTCTAATCATATATTAATTTTAAACAGTTTTTTTCTCTCATCTATTTCAATGCAGTGTATGATTTTATCCTCTTTTCTTAGTTCCCCCCAATCCCATGTCAGTCCTGTTTTATACCAGTAGCATTATGCTGTATTTGTCCTTTTGTTCCTGAGATATTTCACTTGGCATAATGTCCTCCAGGGTAAGTCATTTTGTATATTTCATGAGTTCCTTGTTTTTCAATACTGCATAATATTCCATTTGTGAATATACAACAGCTTCTCTATCCATCCATTTGTTGATTGGCACTTGAGTTGTTTTCATCTTTTTGCTATTGTGAACAAAGCAGCAATAAACATGGGTATGCATACACCTGTTTGGGTGGCAGTTCTGATTTCTCTAGGGTATATTCCTTGTAATGGAATTACTGGTTCAAATGGTATTTCTATTTCCAACTTTTTTGAAAAAGAACCATACTGCCTTCCATAGTGGTTACACCATTTTATACTCCCACTAGCAGTGAATAAGGGTTCTAGTTTCTCCACAACCTTGTCAGCATTTGTTGTTTGCTGCTCTGTTGAATTTTGCTATTTGTACTGGGGTGAGATGATATCTCATAGTTGTTTTGATCTGCA